CTCTAATAATATTAGGAATATAATAATAATAATAATAATAATAATAATAATAATAATAATAATAACATACTAATAATCATTAGGAATATCATTAGGAATAATAAAGTAATCATCAACATCAAACTATATCCTCTTTTCTATAGTCCCAGAAGAAGGGCCTCTAATAATATTAGGAATAGTAGTAAGAATAACAGAATAATCATCAACACCAAACTCAGACCCAGTAAAGAAAGGCACTCTATGATGATAATACCAAACTCCATCATATTTTCTATAGTCCAAGTAAAGGAAAGGCCTCTAATAATATAAGGAATGTTATTAGGAATAATAGAATAATCATCAACACCAAACTCCAACATCTTTTCTATAGACCCAGTAAAAGAAAGGCCTCTAATAATATTAGGAATATTATCAGGAATAATACAATAGTCATCAGTACCAAACTCCATCCTCTTGTCTATAGTCCCAGTAAAGGAAAGGCCTCTAATAATATTAGGAATATTATCAGAAATAGTAAAATAATCATCAGTACCAAACTCCATCCTCTTGTCTATAGTCCCAGTAAAGGAAAGGCCTCTAATAATATTAGGAATATTATTAGGAATAATACAATGATCATCAGCATCAAACTCCATCCCCTTTTCCATAGTCCCAGTAAAGAAAGGCCCTCTATGATGATTAGGAATATTATTAGGATTAATAAAATGAAATCACACATCCACATCCAGAAGGTACTCTTCTCAAAATATTATTATTATATCAACACCAAACTCCATCCTTTTTTCTATAGTAAGGATAGGAATATTATCATGAAGGAATATTATTATGAAGAAATGTTATTATGAATGATCATTAGGAATATTATTAGCAATAATAATAAAAGAAGAAGTAAATAACTTTCCGTTAAAAATAATGAAAATGTCAATACCAAACTTCTGTAGTCATAGTACTACCATCCCAGGCCCTCTCTACTGATTAGGAGTATTATTAGCAATCATAGAAGATGATGATAATATTGATGATGATGATGATGATGATGATGTTGATGATGATGATGATGATGATGGTGGTGATGGTGATGGTGATGGTGATGATGATAGAATCCTAAAGTTAGAAGAGACTTCATGGGCCATCCAGTCCAACCCCCTGCCAAGAAGAAGGAAATACATTTTCAAAGCACCCCGACAGATGGCCACCCAGCCTCTGGTTAGAAGCCTCCAAAGAAGGAGGCTCCACCACCATAACAATAATATAACACACATCTTGATCCATACAATATCAGGGAGGATTTGGAGAGACCTCCCTCTTTTAAAAATAATGATAATGTCAACACCAAACTCCATCCTCTTTTCTGTAGTCCTAGTACTACCATCCCAGGCCCTCTCTACTGATTAGGAGTATTATTAGGAATGATTAATAATAATAATAATAATAATAATAATAATAATAAACACATCTAGACCCATAAAATATCAGGTAAGATTTGGAGAGACCTCCCCATTTTCAAAATAATCATAATGTCAACACCAAACTCCATCCTCTTTTTCTATAGTCCCAATTAGGAACTCATAGAGGGTTAGGAATATTATTAGGTTAGGAATATTATTAGGAACGATAAAAGAATAATACAATGGGTTGCTGTGAGTTTTCTGGGCTGCTTGGCTATGTTCCAGAAGCATTCTCTCTTGACCTTTCGCCTGGATCTATGGCAGACATCCTCAGAGGTTGCCTCTGAAGATGCCTGCCATAGATGTAGGCAAAAGTCAGGAGAAAATGCTTCTGGAACATGGCGATACAGCCCAGAAAACTCACAGCAACCCAGTGATTCTTGCCATGAAATCCTTTGATAATACAACAATACAATGACCTTTCCTTTTCTTAAAATAATCATAATGTCAACACATAGTCTATTCTTTTTTTCTATAGTCCCAATAAGGAAAGGCGTTCTGTGAATAATCATTAGGAATATTATAGTTGGCCAGTTGCAATATTCACACCTGCCTCCAACAGACAAGAGTTCTTTCTCCCACCCTGGGCATTATTCCACAGACATATAAACCCCATTTTCCTAGTTTCCAACAGACCTCACAAGCTCTGAGGATGCAGGAGAAACATCAGGAGAGAGTGCTTCTGGAACACGGACCTATAGCCTGAAAAACCTACAACAACCCAGTGATTCCGGCCACAAAAGCCTTCGACAATATACTACTACTACTACTACTACTACTACTACTACTACTAATAATAATAATAATAGACTCTGGCACAAGCCAGTCAAGGTGGTCCCAGTGGTGATTGGCACACTGGGTGCAGTGCCTAAAGACCTTGGCCTGCACTTAAGCACAATCAGCAGTGACAAAATTATCATCAGCCAGCTGCAGAAGACCACCTTACTGGGATCTGCACACATTATTCTTCGAGAATACATCACACAGTCCTAGACACTTGGGAAATGTCCAATACAACAGCCAACAGAGTGATCTTGTCTGCTGTGGACTCATCTTGCTGTGTTTATAATAGTAATAATAATAATAATAATAATAATAATAATAATAATAATAATATATAATATTATTATAATATATATATATATTATAATAAATTAATAATATATAAGAAATATATTATATTATATATTAATAAATATATTATATAATAATAAATATTATATTATATATTAATAAATATATTATATATTAATAAATATATTATTATTATTATTATTATTATTATTATTATTATTATTATTATTATTATTATTATTGCTGGAATCATTGGGTTGTTGTGAGGTTTCTGGGCTGCATAGCCATGTTCCAGACCTCACAACCTCTGAGGACGCCTGTCATAGATGCAGGCAAAACATCAGGAGAGAATGCTTCTGGAACATAGCCAGACAGCCTGAAAAACACACAACAACCCATTAGGAATATTATTAGGAATAATAATAATAATAATAATAATAATAATAATAATAGTAATAATAATAATATATTCTCAAAGGCTTGCATGGCTGGAATCACTGGGTTGTTGTGAGTTTTCTGGGCTGCATAGCCATGTTCCAAACCTCACAACTTCTAAGGACGCCTGTCATAGATGCAGGCGAAACGTCAGGAGAGAATGCTTCTGGAACACAGCCAGTCAGCCTGGAAAACACACAACAACCCATGAGGAATATTATTAGGAATAATAATAAAAGAATAATACAGTAACACATAACCAGAGTAATCAAATATAGGGTTTGGAGGGACTCTCCTTTTGTAACCATCATGATAACCTCACTACCTCTGAGGATGCTTGCCATAGATGCAGGCGAAACGTCAGGAGAAAATGCCTCTAGAACATGGCCATATAGCCCAGAAAAACCTACAACAACCCATCATGATAATGTCAACACAAAACTCCATCTTTTTTTCCCAGTAGTCCCACTAATAGAAGGAAGGAAGGCCTTTCTAGGATTCTTGGAAGTATGATTAGGAATAGTAAAATAAATTATTAACCCAAGGAAAAGGGGTCCAAAAAAGTAAACCTTGATTTTTAAAGAGGTTTTTATTTATCAAAAAAAAGTGGAGGTTTTTTTTTTTTACATATATAAATATCTTTAAACATTTTTGCATTTTACAAGGTTTGAGGAGTCGCTGTTGTGTTGGTTTTTTTGTTTTGTTTTACAGTATTCACATCGAGTCCAGCTTCGGTGCAGGCCAGGCCTCCTTCTCTTTCCTCCCTCCCTTCTCCATCCCATCATATACTTTTGTGGTTGTTGTTGTGGTTGTTGTGTTTGGAATGAACTCCCTTTTGGAGGAAGAGCCAGAGAAGGGAGGAAAGAGAAAGATGCCCTTTTAATTTGATTCTTTAACTTGTAGGGTGATTGAAATCCCACTCGTGACAAAAATAGATTCGGGAGGAAAAACTGGGGTGGAAAGGGACCCTTCTGTTTTCTGATGAAGGTCTGACGTTTGGCAAGGGATGGAAGAGGTGTAGATTCCTGCTTCTTTTTTCTCTCAACCACGCGAGTCCATTCCCACGCGTGTTGGAGGCGATAGAAAACCCACCCGTGACCCGTGAGGAAAAACTGGAAGAAAGTGGGACCATTTCAGGGAAAGGATAAGGATGGATTTCTCCTCCCTCCTTTGGGCCCAAAGCTCTCCACGCGTGTCTATTCCCAGGTGTCCATTCCCAGACTTGGAAGGGAGAAAAAACTAGAGGAAAGAGAGACACTTCTGCCTTTGAGGGACTGTGATAGATTTCTGCTTCTTTCTTTGGGTCAAGAGCTCCCCACGTGGGGCCCACCTCCACGCGTGTTTCCGCTATTAAACCCCACCATAACCAAAAAATAGATCTTGAAGGAAAACTAGAGAAAATGCTTTTTTTAAAAAAAAAAAGGTGGATTTCTGCTCCCTCCTTTTGGGCCAAGAGCTCCCCACGCGGGTCCAACTCCACGCGTGTTTTCGCTATTAAAAGCCCACCCTGACTACAAAAAATAGACCTTGGAGGGAAGCTGGAGGATGTGTGGGTTTTTTGAGAGGTGGATTCCTGCTCCCTGCTTTTGGCCCACGCGTGTTCTTTCCCCACGCCTGTCCTTTCCCCCAAATAGACCTGGGAGGGAAGGTGAAGGGGTGAATTCCTGCTCCCTGCTTTTGGCCCACGCGTGTTCTTTCCCCACGCCTGTCCTTTCCCCCAAACAGACTTGGGAGGGAAGCTCTTGGCCCTAAGCTTCCCGCGTGTGTCCTTTCCTCACCTGTGTCCTTTCCCCAAACAGATCTGAGAGGGAAGCTGGAGGAAATAGGGTCTTTTTGAGGGGTGGGTCCCTGCTCCTTGCTTTTGGCCCAAAGCTCCCACGCGTGTCCTGTCCCCGAACAGATATGGGGGGGGGGGGAGCCGGTCTTTTTGAGGGGTGGGTTCCTGCTAAACGCTTTTGGTCCAAAACTCCCCACGCGCACCCTTTCCCCCACGCGTGTCCGTTTCCCTCACGCGTGTCCACTCCCTTAGGCAGATCTGGGGGGGGAAGCTGGTCTTTTTGAGGGGTGGGTTCCTGCTAAACGCTTTTGGTCCAAAACTCCCCACACGCGCCCTTTCCCCCACGCGTGTCCCTTTCCCCCACGCGTGTCCACTCCCTTAGGCAGATCTGGGGGGGGGGGAAGCTGGTCTTTTTGAGGGGTGGGTTCCTGCTAAACGCTTTTGGTCCAAAACTCCCCACGCGCGCCCTTTCCCCCACGCGTGTCCCTTTCCCCCACGCGTGTCCACTCCCTCAGGCGCGCCCGAGACCCCCGCGCGTCCACCCCTTCCGCGTGTCCGTACCCACGCACCACTTTTCCCTCCCACGCGTGTGTCCGCACCCCTCCCGTTCAGTCCATATCCACTTCCTCACAGTCTGCGTGGCTGCTGTGGCTCTCGGCGGCGGCGGCGGAGGCGGCGGCGTCGCGGCTCTGAGACGGGTCTCGCGTGGGGAGAGGCGGGCGACCACTGTCCACCTGGGAAGAAGAGTCGCAAGAGGGAGGAAGAGGAGGAGGAGGGGAAGTAGGAGGAAGTGGAGGCGGAGGGGGAGAGGAAGGAGAAGGGGAAGCAGGGGAAGGCGTCGTCCTCCTCCTCCTCGGGGCCGCTCCTTCGAGGCTCTCCAGCGTGGTGGTGCTGCGGGGCTGGGCCGGGTCGGGGCTGGGGTTGGCGGCGGGCAAGGGGGATCCCCGCGGGTGGGCCTGGGGGGGCAAGGGGGCGCCCTCGTGGCTCTTGAGGGCGGCTTGGGGCACCAGGAAGCCCAGGGGCTGGGTGATGGGGTACAAGAGGAAGTGGCCCTTGCCCAGGAGGGCGCGGGCGGCGGCGGGGGCGCAGGGGGAGGCGAGGGCCGGGTTGGGGGCCGAGGAGGGGGCTTTCCTGCGCGGGGGCGAGTCCGAGAGAAGGCTCTCCACGCTGAAGGGGTTGGGCTTCCCCGAGGAAGGAGGAGGAGGAGGAGGAAGAGGGGGCGGAAGCGGGGCGACCTCCGAGTTGTCCTTTTGCGGGTAGAAGGCCGAGGCCGCCGTGAGGTCGCAAGTGCCCGGCCTGGGCAGGTGGAGGGAAGAGGAAGAGGAGGAGGAAGAGGAAGGCTTGGCGACCTCGCAAGGCGGGTCCGGGGAGAGGCCCCCTCCGCCCCCGTCGCTGTCGGAGCTCTGGGTGCTGCTGGGCAGGGAGAGGCCCCCCGGGGAGGGCAAGGGCCGGCCCTGGCTCTTGAGCAGCTTCCGCTCGTGCTTCCGCTTCTTCTTCTCCATCTTCTCCAGCTCCTTCCTGGCGATCTCCTCCGGGTCCATGGGCTCCCCGCTGCACGTCGTCGGGTGGGAGTTGTGGGCCGGCCGGCCAGGGCCCTTCTTGGTGTTCTCCTTCTTGCGCCACTTGGCCCGGCGGTTCTGGAACCAGACCTGGAGGAGGAGGAAGAGAAGGAAGAGAAGGAGGAGGAAAGGGAGGAGGATGAGGAGGGGAAGGAGAAGGATGAGAGGGGTAGGAGGTGGTGGTGAAGGAGGAGAAGGAGAAGAAAGAGAATGAGAAGAGGAGATGGAAAAAAGGATTAGGAGAAAGTGAAGGCGAAGGACAAGGAGGAGAAGGAGAAGGAGGGGAAAGAGAAGAGGAGAAGGAAAGAAGGAGAAGATGAGAAGGCAAAAAGGAGGAGGAGAAGAGGAAGTAGAAGGTGGTGGTGAAGGAGAAGGAGGAGAAAGAGAAGGGGAAGGAGAAAGGAGAAGGGGAAGGAGAAGAAGGGGGAGAAAGGGAAGGAGAAAAAGGAGAGAAGAAGGAGAGAAGAAGGAGAAAGAGGAGGAGGGAAAGGCCACGGAGAAGAGGAAGGAGAAAGAGATGGGGGGGGGAGAAGGAAAAGGAAAAGGAGGGGAAGGGAGGGAAGGAGGAAGGGGAGAGGAGGAGGGAAAGGATGGGAGGAGAGGGAGAAGGGGGAAGGAAAGGGGAAGGAGGAAAGATATAATTGAAGAAGAAGGAAGCGGAGGGGGAAAGGGGGAGGAGGAGAAAGAGGAAAGGAGGAGTAAAAGGAGTAGGAAAGGAGGAAGAGGAATAGGAGGAGAGAAGGGAAGGGAGGAAGGAGAGGGGAGCCGTAAGGGAGGAAAGAAGGGGAGAAGGAAGGAAGAAGGAGAGTAGGGAAGAAGAAAGAGAGCAAAGGAAGGGACGGCCGGAACGGAAGTACAATGAGAAGGAAGGAAAGGAAGAAGTAAAGGAAGCAGATGCATGTAGTCATCAAAGTGATGGAAGGAAGAAGAGAACGAGGGAAGGAAGGAAGGAAAGAAGGAAGGAAGGAAGGAAGGAAGGAAGAAGGACAGAGGGAAGGGGAGGGAAGGAAGGAAAGAAGAAAAAAGGAGAGGAAGGAAAGGGGGATGATAAGAAGGAGGGAACAAAAGCAAAATACGGGAGTCGTAATAAAGAAGGAGGGGAGGAAAGGGTAGAAGGAAAGAAGGGAGGAAGGAGGGAGAGAAGGGATGGAAAAGAAGGGGAAGGAGAGGAAGGGAAGGAGGCAGTTGGGTCACAAATGGAAGTGGCCAGAAGGGAGAGAGGGCGGAAGGAGGGAAGGAAGGAAAGAAAGAAGAAGAAGCTCAGTTGAAAGTTGATCTTGCAATTTACGGCATTTGTGGAACCTTGAGTCCCATTTTGAGGTGGGAATTTGCCATAGTTATCATCACAATCCCACAATGAGAAGACCTTCAAGGGGAGGACATTCAATCCTCAAACTACCAGGGAAGAAGGAAGGTGGTCTCCGTATTTTTTTAGAGGGGCGCAAAGAGGCAAACTACTTTCCCGCCTCCCTTCTTCCAAACTTTGAGAAACTAGCTCAAAGGGAAGGGAGACAAAACATGAAGGTGGGGGAGCAAACGCTTGGCAGAATGGGCCCTTTCACCTCTCTGAACTTCAGGACCAACACGGAGAGCAAAGAGAAAATGAGATACACACACACACACAACGCCTTTGCCTTCTCTCTTCCTCCAAGTTTTCTCAGAAAAGACAATAATGCGAGAGGAATGGCCTGGAAAAATGACTGGAGACCATCAAAATGTGGACCCCCCCCCCCCAATTCAGTTCTGTGAACTTGGTTAAGGACATGTGCAGCATATACATATATGCACACACCTATACACACACACACATATATATATACATACACACCATATACATACAAATATATGTATAAATATACACGCTATATATCTGTGAGTGTATGTATACACAGTATATATCCATATCTATATATTACCATATGCACATATACTTGTATGTATATATGCATAGATATATTTATTTATTTACTTACTTTACTTCTATACCGCTGTTCTCAGCCCAGAGGCGACTCACAGCGGTTCTATATATATATATATATATCACATAAACCTACATATATATCACATAAACCTACACACCACGTCTCTCTGTGCGTGTGTATGCATTACAAACACACATACACACCAGATATAGGTAATTTACACACACACACAAATCATAGGTACATACACTATATATATACACACACATATATTTATAGTGTGTGTGTACACATACACACACCAGTCATACATACATGCACACATCATATATATATACATTAATCATGTATCCATACACACACCATATATATATACACTGATAATAGATATATATGCACTAATCATATATACATCGACACATCATATATATCCACTAATATATATACACACACTAATCATATATACATAGACACATCATATGTATCAACTAAGAATAGATATATATATACACTAATCATATATACATCGACACATTATATATAAATATATACACATACAGAAATCATATATACATACACACATTATATATATCCATATATATATATATCCACTAATCATATATACATACACACATCATATATATATATATATATACACACACACACACCGATCATATATACACACACATCGTATAAATATATACTAATGTGCATATATATATATATATATATATATACTAATCATGTGTATATATATACTCATCTTATATATACACACATACTGACAATAAATATATACATTAATCATATATATATATATACACACACCATATATACACACACACATCGTATAAATATTTACTAATGTGCATATATATATATACGAATCATGTATATATACATATATACATATCATATATACACACACACTGACAATAAATATATACATTAATCATATATATACAGTATATATATATATACCGGCACACATATACAAACACACATAATAACCACAGCCACACACACACACCACACATATACATACAGATGCACACAGAGAACTCCCTTTCCATCTCCCTTCTTCCAACCTTTACAAAAAAAACACCCCAAAATAAATGCCGGATTAAAACCATGGTCTCCAACCCAATGATAACACCATCAGTGCTATGAACTGAATTAAGGACTTTATCCGCCATCCATAAGCACACTTGTTCTGCCCTTCTGTGTCTATTCGCTTTTACTCCGAATCAATTCTCTTCTTGGGTTGTTTTTTTTTTTTTTTGGGGGGGGGGGGGGGGTCTAACTTCATACTAAAGCAACAGAACAATGCTAATAATGCTAATAATAATAATAATAATAATAATAATAATAATAATAATAATAATAAATGATTAATAATAATAATAAACCCCAGCGTTCCTGGTTGTTGTTATTGGTTTAATTAACAGTATTTTCCAAGCTCCTGGGGCAAATGGCACCAATAACATGCCAAGTTTCTATGGGTCGTAAGAAACTTCTCTACCCCTCTGTTGGATCCCCATCGTTAGCAATAATTTCAGAAGTCGTTTCTTTCCCATTGAAAGGAAAGGGAGAGATGGCAGGAAACGAAATCCAATCCGGATTAAGACAGATTTCAGTGGAAATGGCCCGAAGGGGATGTCCTATTCCGTCCCCATACGCACAGGACGCAACCCAAAACAACACACCCCATCATCCGCCTCCCCATACTTGAGATTCCGACTCATTTCGGATGCAAACGCCTTCCTCCGGGGGCCTATTTTTTTTTAAAGGGGACCCAAAGAGGAATTGAAACCCACCACTCTAGAGTCTAGAAAGAAGAATATTTTTCCTCTCACGGAATTCAAGCGTTTGGGGAAGCAAAAGGGGGAGAAAGGAGGGGTCCTGGGTCTCTTTTTGCATAACATTGGTTTCACAGCTCTTGCTTTTGCATAATATTGGGTCCTCGGGTGCTTATTTGGCATAATATTGTGTGTCCAGCTCTTTCTTTAGCACAATATTGGGTTTCCAGCTCCTTCTTTAGCATAATATTAGGTTCCCAACACCTTCTTTAGCACAATATTGGGTCCCCAACTCCTTCTTTTGCGTAATATTGGATTCCCAGCTTTTTAAAAACATAATATTGAGTTCCCAGATCCTTCTATAGCAAAATATTGGGTTCCCAGCTCCTTCTTTAGCACAATATTGGATTCCTAGTTCCATCTTTTGCATAATATTGGATTCCTAGCTCTTTCTTTTTCATAATATTGGGTTCTCAGCCCCTTCTTTAGCACAATATCGGGTTCCCAACTCCTTCTTTAGCTTAATATTGGATTCCCAGCTTTTTAAAAGCATAATATTGGGTTCCCAGCTCCTTCTTTAGTACAATATTGGGTTCCCAGCTCCTTCTTTAGCACAATATTGGGTTCCCAACTCCCTATTTTGCATAATATGGGGCTACCAGCTCCTTCTTTTACATAATATTGGATTCCTAGTTCCATCTTTTGCATAATATTGGATTCCTAGCTCTTTCTTTTTCATAATATTGGGTTCTCAGCCCCTTCTTTAGCACAATATCGGGTTCCCAACTCCTTCTTTAGCTTACTATTGGATTCCTAGCTTTTTAAAAGCGTAATATTGAGTTCCCAGCTCCTTCTTTAGCACAATAGTGGTTCCTAGTTCCTTCCTTTTCATAATATTGGCTTCCCGGCTCCTTCTTTGACACAATATTGGGTTCCCAACTCCTTATTTTGCACAATATTGGTTCCCAGCTCCCTTTTTAGCATAACATTGGGTTCCCAGCACTTTCTTTTTCATAATATCGGGTTCCCAGCTCTATCTTTAGCATAATATTGGGTTCCTAGCATCTTCTTTTGCATAATATTGGGTCCCCAACTCCTTCCTTTTCATAATATTGGCTTCCCAGGTTTATCTTTAGCATAATATTGGGTCCCCAACACCTTCTTTTGCATAATATTGGATTTCCAACTCCTTCCTTTTCATATTATTTGATTCCTGGCTCTTTCTTTTGCATAATATTGGGTTCCTAGCACCTTCTCCTGCATAATATTGGGTTCCCAACTCCTTCCTTTTCATACTATTAGATTCCCAGCTCTTTCTTTTGCATAATATTGGGTTCCCAGAGCCTTCCTTTTCATACTATTGCGTTCCCAACTCCTTCCTTTTCATGCTATTAGATTCCTAGCTCTTTCTTTTGCATAATATTGGGTTCCTAACACCTTCTTTTACATAATATTGGGTTCCCAGAGCCTTCCTTTTCATAGTATTAGACCCCCAGCTCTTTCTTTTGCATAATATTGGGCTCCCAGCTCCTTATTTAGCACAATATTGAGTTCTCAGCACCTTATTTTGCATAATATTGAGTTCACAGCACCTTATTTTGCATAATATTGGGTTCCTAGCTCTTTTTTGGATAATATTGGGTGCCTAGCACCTTCTTGTGCAAAATAGCTTTCATGCACAGAAAAGGAGAGAAATAAACACCCAGGTTTCCAAGTCCGAAGCCATTCCCACGTGTAAGGGAGAGAGAGATTTGACACGTGTCTATCTTGCCCTTACTTTTAGGGACAGGAGAAGAGAGGGTGGAAAGGGGGGGAGAGGGAAAAGGAGGGGTGTCTCGTCCTTTTATTAATTACCTGAACTCTGGATTCCACCAAGTCGAGCCTCAGCGCCAGCGCCTCCCTCATAAACACGTCCGGGTAGTGACTTTCGTTGAAGGCTTTTTCCAGTTCTTCCAGTTGCCAGCCGGTGAAATTGGTCCGGGTCCGGCGCCTTTTGCAGCCAGGACTCTCCTTATCCGGATCCACAGAGTCTATTTGGGGGAAAGTGAGAGGGGAAAGAGGGGGAAGCGTCAAAGAAAGGCACCCCCAATCCGTCTCCAAATCCACCACCGACTCAGAGAGAAAGGAGGACAAGAGAAGGCACGAGTGGCGTTATTTGTCCTGTGTTGGACAAACAATGACCTTCCCACCCCCTCAGCCCCTTAAAGGGTCTCTTTTGTATTAGATTGGATTGATTTCAAGGGGAAACCCTTCACCGTTGAACCCCCTTTTCTCTCCTAGTCGAAAAGATCTCAATTTAGGAGAGAAATGGGACATTGCTCGTTTCCAGGGCGCATTTTTCTCATTCTGGGGATGAATTCTATTTTTTTCTGCTTCTATGACAAAATGTTCTTATTCATTCACACCATATTATATTGCATATTATGTTACTGTAGACTTATATTATATTATATGGGCAAGAGGGTATGTCCTTGTCCTTTCCACTTCTGGAAAAGGCACTTCGGGTCCAAGTTCGGGAAAGAAAACCATGAAAATATTCCAAAATTTGAGGTTTCTAGGTTCTGTGTGTCGGGAATGGGTGAAAGGGTTCAAAACATTGGCAGGGAAGTTCCTATTTCGAAATATGGAGCCATGCTTTGGTTTTGGAACCCCTAAATGTCCCTTGTCTTGCGTTTCCCCACAAAAATTCTCCCCTTTTTGCCTTTTGTTTGGACGAGCGAGGCTACCAAATCCTCCAAATATCAAAACCAATATCTTTCCAATCGACAGTGATTGCTATTATTACTATTTGATACACAACAAGAAAAGTACACAGCAAACAATATCATTCTGCTGGATTTTACATTGGATCACACGGCGGACGCTTCCCAAACAGTAACAGCAGGCGAAACGTCAGGAGAAAATGCCTCTACAACATGGCCATATAGCCCGAAAAAACCTACAACCCAACAACAACAACAATAGCAACAACAATAATTATGTAGTAAAATAATAATAATGTGTCAGTAAAATAATAATAATAATAATAATAATTAGAGTTTTGCTATCCGACTATTTAACCCTTCCCATCTTATATTGCTCTCATCTGGAAGCAGAAGGAGAAATAGAAGGGGAAGGAGAAAAAGAAAGAGAAGGAAGAGAAGGAAGAAGAAAAGAGGAGGAAAGGAGGAGGAAAAAAAGAGGAAAGAAAACGTTGGTGAAGTAAAAAGATGGAGAAGGAGGAGGGGAGAAGGAAAAAAGAAGAGGATGGAGAAGAAGAAAAAGAGAAAGAAGAAGATGAAAGAGATGGAGAAGAGGGAGGAGGAGGAGGAGAAAAGAGAAGGAGAAGAGGAAAAGAGAAGGAGAAAGAGAAGATGAAAACAGAAAAGAGAGAAAGAAGAGGGAGGAGGAGGAGAAGAAAAGAAGGAGAAGAGGAAAAGAGAAGGAGAAAGAGATGAAAACAGAAGAAAAGAGGGAGGAGGAGGAGAAGAAAAAGGAGAAGAGGGAAAGAGAGAAAGAAGAGAGAAGAGAGAGAAAGAAGAGGGAGAAGAAGAAGAAGAAAAGAGAAAGAATGAGAAGAGGAAAAGAGAAGAGGAAGAAAGCTAGAGAAGGAGTAGAAGAAGAGAAGGAAAAGAGAAGGAGAAGAGGAAAAGAGAAGAGGGAGAAAGATAGAGAAGGAGTAGAAGAAGAGAAGGAAAAGAGAAGGAGAAGAGGAAAAGAGAAGAGGGAGAAAGATAGAGAAGGAGTAGAAGAAGAGAAGGAAAAGAGAAGGAAAAGAGGAAAAGAGAAGAGGGAGAAAGATAGAGAAGGAGTAGAAGAAGAGAAGGAAAAGAGAAGGAAAAGAGGAAAAGAGAAGAGGGAGAAAGATAGAGAAGGAGTAGAAGAAGAGAAGGAAAACAATGCTCTGCTCTATCTCCAAATATTTAGTATTTACTATTATTTTCACACACTCTCTAAAAAAAGGCCAAACCGGATCGAAAGTGAAATGCTATTAAAAGTAACTTTTCTATCCTGCCCATTCCAGAAGCCTTGAAATGCTTTTTATTATCCTTTAAGCACTTTTTCCATATATATATATATGGATATATATGTGTGTGCGTGTGTGTAAACACACACATATATACATATATACATGTGTGTATATGTATATATGTGTGTGTACACAAAGAGACACTCTACTTCGATTGTAAACAAACAATATTATTATTTTTCAAAATGCGACATTCCTGATCCGGTTCAAGGGCAGCCTTCTGTCTTTAGAAATTAAAAAGAGAGGGAAATCTTCTCCTTTTCTCTCTCTTTTTCACTCTTTCCTTTCTTCCTAAAATATATAGGAAGGAAGGAAGGAAGAGAGGAAGAGCCGGAAAAACAAATAAACTAAACAATAACAGCACAGGAGGGCCAAAGAGGGGGGGAAAGGGGGTGGAAATTGATGAGAAAGAAATCGCCTTCCGAGCTGCTTCTCACGGGGTTGTTTTCTCATTAAAGGGAGAGGGAAAATATAGACTTTGGGATTCAAATCCTGGTCTTGTCGGTCTTGGTGGGGGTTTCAAGACCAGCTACAATAATATGGAGGTCCCATACTGGTCCCCCCGTTTCATTCTTTCCTTCAGATTGAAATCCTCGGGTGGATTTACCAATAATCATAATCATAACAACAACAATTTGAGAAGTGTCCGATTTGTGATCCAATTCAACAGCCAGAAGAGTGTCTGCTGTGGACTCATCTTGTTGTGTTTCAAATAATAATAATAATAATAATAATAATAATAATAATAATAATAATAATAATAATAGGATAATGATGATGTAGTCTAGTAATAATAGTAATCTGGAGGCACCAGCTCAATTCCTCCTTTTGGGATGAAAATCCCGAACTGACCTTTTTGAATTGAGTAATAATAATAATAATAATAATAATAATAATAATAATAATAACAGCCTGCAAAGTGATCTTGTCTGCTGTGGACTCATCTTGTTGTGTTTCAAATAATAACAACAACAACAACAGCCAGCAGAGTGATCTTGTCTGCTGTGGACTCATCATGTTGTGTTTCACATTAATAATAATAATAATAATAATAATAATAATAATAATAATAATAGTCAGCAAAGTGATCTTTTCGGCTGTGGTCTCATCTTGTTGTGTTTCAAATTGATAATAATAATAATAATAATAATAGCCAACAAAGTGATCTTTTCGGCTGTGGACTCATCTTATTGTGTTTCAAATTGATAATAATAGTAATAGTAATAATAATAATAATAATAATAATAATAATAATAATAATAATAGCCAGCAGAGTGATCTTGTCTGTTGTGGACTCATCTTGTTGTGTTTCAAATTGATAATAATAGTAATAGTAATAATAATAATAAAATAATAATAATAATAATAATAATAATAATAATAATAGCCAGCAAAGTGATCTGCCTGCTGTGGACTCATCTTGTTGTGTTTCTAATAATAATAACAACAACAACAACAACAACAACAACAACAACAACAACAGCCAGCAGAGTGATCTTGTCTGCTGTGGTCTCATCTTGTTGTGTTGCAAATAATAATAATAATAATAATAATAATAATAATAATAATAATAATAATAATAATCTGGAGTCCAGCGCGTGTATGTGTGTGTGTGTGTGTGTGTGTGTGTGTATGTATGTATATATATATATATCTCGTTTGCTGTGTCATACTGTGTTTTGTGTCAGTAAAATAATAATAATAAACCTTTGGGATGGAAATCCTGGATTGGCCTTTTCGGATGGAGTTGTTTAAATAATAACAATAATAATAAAACCCTATTTGGTATCGAAATCCTGAACTGACCTTTTGGGATGGAGTTATTTGAAGGAGAAGAAAAGAAATAAAAGGAGAAGAGGAAGAAGGAGGAGAAGAAGAAAAGGAAGAATCTAGAGCCCCATCTCTTTGGGACAGCAATTGGAAATTGATATGTTTGGGTGGAGTTGTTATAATATTAATAATAATAATAATAATAATAATAATAATAATAATAATAATAATAATAATAATAATAATAATAATAATAATAATATGGAGATCTCACCCTGGCCTCAGTTTTACCCTTTTTTGGGGACCGAAATCCTGAACTGACCTTTTGCAGTTATTTAAATTCTGATGAGGATGAAGATTATGATAATGATGAGGAAGAGGAGGAGGACTCTGGAGTCCCATCTCTTTGGGATAGTAAGCCGAAGTTGGCATGTTTGGATGGAGTTATTTTTGCAATTACTAATAATAATTAATAAACAACAATAATAGTAATAGCAATAATCTGGAGATCTCAATTTTCCCCTTCTTGGGATCGAAATCCTGGACTGACCTTTTTGAATGGAGTTATTTGAAAAAGGAGAAGAAAGAAATGAAGGAGAAGAGGAAGAGGGGGAAGAAAGAGAAGAAGGAGGAAAAGAGGAAGAATCTGGTGTCCCATCTCTTTGGGATGGCAATCCGGAGTTGACATGTTTGGATTGAGTTATTTATAATAATAATAATAATAATAATAATAATAATAATAATAATAATAATAATAATAATAAACATCACACAGTCCTAAAAACTTGGGAAGTGTCCGACTTGTGATTTTGTGAATCGTTTGCTGTATCGTTCTGTGTTTTTGTGTCATAATAATAATAATAATAATAATAATAATAATCTGGAGATCTCACCCTGGCCTTTGAGATCTGAATCCTGAACTGACATTTTTGGATGGAGTTATTTTAAGAGGAGGAGGACGAAGAAGAAGGAGAAGAAGAGAAAAAACCTGGAGTCCCATCTCTTTGAGATTGCATTCCGGAGTTGACATGTTTGGATGGAGTTATTTTGGAAAATAATAATAACAATAACTAATAACAATAATCATAATCTGGAGATCTCACCCTGGCCTGAACTGACATTTTTGGATGGAGTTATTTAAGGAAGAGGAAAAGGAAGAAGAGAAGAACCTGGAGTCCCATCTCTTTTTAATAAGAATAATAAGAATAACAATCTGGATTTTACCCTATTTGGTATAAAAATCCTGAACTGATCTTTTGGGATGGAGTTATTTGAAGAAGGAGAAGAAAAAAAATAAAAGGAGAAGAGGAAGAAGGAGGAGGAGAAGAAGAGGAAATAATAACAATCTGGATTTTACCCTATTTGGTATCGAAATCCTGAACTGATCTTTTGGGATGGAGTTACTTGAAGAAGGAGAAGAAAAGAAATAAAAGGAGAAAAGGAAGAAGGAAGAGAAGAAGAAGAAGAGGAAGAATCTAGAGTCTCATCTCTTTGGGACAGCAATCCTGAGTTGGCCTGTTTAGATGGAAATATAATAATAATAATAATAATAATAATAATAATAATAATAATAATAATAATAATAACTATATTGATTTTACCCTGTTTGGGAATTGACATTTGGGGAGGGAGTTATTGAAATAATAATAATAATAATAATAATAATAATAATAATAATAATCTGGAGACCTCACCCTGGCCTTTGGGATTGAATCTTGAACTGAAATTTTTGGATGGAGTTATTTAAAGAGGAGGAAGAAGAAGAAGAAGGAGAGGAAGAATCTGGAATAATCCCATTTCTTTGGGATAGCAATCCTGAGTTGGCATGTTTGGATGGAGTTATTTTTGGAAATATTAATAATAACAATCTGGATTTTACCCTATTTGGGATCGAAATCCCGAACTGGCCTTTAGGAATTGAGTTCATAGACTCCTAGAGTTGGAAGTGACCTCGTGGGCCATCCAGTCCAACCCCATTCAGCCAAGAAGCAAGGAAATTATTTAATTAAGAATAATAATAATCTGGAGACGATCATGGGATGGCAATGTAGATATATTCTTTTGGGGAGGGGGGTTGATAAACCTAAAGGAAGAGAGGAAGAGCCTGATTCTCCCACACCCTTCCTTTCAGACCCCACGCGAGCACCCCAGACACGCGTGGGCTATTCTCAGGGATGACAATGTAGATATATATTCGGGCTCCCACTTTTGGGGAGGGGGGGTTGATAAACCTAAAGGAAGAGTGGAAGAGCCTGATTCTCCCATACCCTTCCTTGCAGACCCCACGCGAGCACCCCAGACACGCGTGGGCTATTCTGAGGGATGGCAATGTAGATATATTTTCGGGCTCCCACTTTTGGGGAGGGGGGTTGATAAACCTAAAGGAAGAGAGGAAGAGCCTGATTCTCGTACACCCTTCCTTGCAGACACGCGTGGGCTATTCTGAGGGATGGCAATGTAGATATATTTTCGGGCTCCTACTTTTGGGGAGGGGGGTTGATAAACCTAAAGGAAGACTGGAAGAGCCTGATTCTCTCACACCCTTCCTTTCGGACCCCACGCGAGAACCCCAGACACGCGTGGGCTATTCTGAGTGTCCTCCTGGGGAAGGAAGGAAGGAAGGGCAAGGCGGTGGCTCCTACCGGAGAGCTTGTAGGGCTGCCCGGGCCCCTCCCCGTTGACCCCGCAGCCGTGGGGCGGCGGCGGCAGGAGCGGCGTGGGGTTGACCACGGAGGCGGCGGCGGCGGCGCAGGAGCCGTTGAGTAATCCGTCGATGGAGAAGGGCACGGAGGCGGCGGCGGCAGCGGCAGCTGCGGCCTGGAGCTGGTGCCCGGCCAGTTCGTAGACGTGGGGGTGGCCCAGCGGGTAAGGGAAGCCCACCATCCCGCCGAAGGGGGCGTGGGGGTGCTCCAGGAGGCGGCTGTCCATCCTCGGAGGCGGGGGAGACGTTCCACGGGGGGGGTTGGGGAAAACACGCGTGGGAGTAGGAGAACACGCCACGCGTGATTCCGGCTTCTCAGGCTCCCTGGCGCTGCTGCTGCTGCTGCTGCTCCTCCTGGCGCCCCCACCACCGCCGCCCCCGCCGCCGGAGCCTGGCTCTTGCGGCGGGAACGCGAGTGGGTCGCTCCACGGCGCGGCGCATGCTGGAGGGCGCCCCGGACGGGCGCTTCAACTTTATCCCCAGCCCAGGCCTTCCACCTAATGAGGCGCCGGGCCGGGGATCCGGGGACCAATCAGGGGCGGGGAGCGCGCGTGACGTCAGAGGCGGTCCTGCGTGGAAAAGACAGGGAGGGGAGGGGGGGGTGTAAGGCAAGGCAAGAGTGGGGAGAAAGCGAGGGAGAGAGAGAAGGAGCCGTTTTCCATATCGATTGCTAATTATACCTGACATCCACCCTCAATAAACAATATCAAAGCTGTCACAACAAGACAAGGAAGGAGGGGGAAAGAAGGGGGGAGAGTGGGGAAGGGAGGGGGAAAGAGAGAGAGTCGCTTCCTTTGGATAAAGGGGAGAAAAGTGTTTGTAATGTGTGTGTATTTGGGGGGGGGGCTTCCACGGAAAGGGAGAAAAATAGGAGGAGAACTTCGGGGAGACGTCTGGTTAGGGAACGTCCCTGACGTGCTTGCCTTCGCGCCCCCATCCCACAAAACGCTAATAGATTTCCCTTTTGAGAGAGAGAGAGAAAGAGGGGGGAAAAAGTGGGATAAAATAGGCTTCCTCTTTCTTTTTTTTCCCCCCAACGCCCCCTCCCCTCTTTCCTCGCCCCTTCCTCCTCCTCCTCCTCCTCCTCCTCCTCCGCCAGAAAACGGTTCGACTCCTGTGAACCTTTAAAGTGATGTTGCTCCAATTACAGGGAGACATTGAGCGGCAAATAGACTGATCCAATAATAGGAGATTCATCATCCACTCTTTCCAAGGCTGTCACAATGAATTTAAAACTACAAGGCTTTTCATCTCCTCTCAGGCTTCTTCGAGCAAAAGAGGAAGGGAGGGGATTGGGGAAAGGGGAAGGAGAAGGGGGGAGAGTTTGCTTAAAAGCCAGGAAAAAGGGGGAGGTAAAGAGGGAAGGAAAAAGGGCAAAAGAAATGATAGGGAAAGAGGGTAGGAAAGGAGAAGAGAGAGGGGCGAAGAGGGAAGGGAAGGAAGGAAGGAAGGAAGGAAGGAAGGAAGGAAGGAAGGAAGGAAGGAAGGAAGGAAGAAATGGGGAGGTAAAGAGGGAAGGAAAAAGGGCAAAAGAAATGATAGGGAAAGAGGGTAGGAAAGGAGAAGAGAGAGGGGCGAAGAGGGAAGGGAAAGGGGGCTAGAAGGAAAAGAAAAGGGGCCAAGGAAATGATAAGGAAAGAAAGAAAGAAATTAAGGAAGGAAGGAAGGAAGGAAGGAAGGAAGGAAGGAAGACAGAGACAGACGGAAAGAAAGAACGAAAGAAAGAGGCAGGGAGGTAAAGAGGGAAGGAAAGGGGGCAAAAGAACTGATAGGGAAAGAGGGTAGGAAGGAGAGAGAAAGGGAAAGGGGAAAGGAAAGAGGGAGGGAAGAGAAGATAAGAAAGGAAGGAAGGAAGGAAGGGGTAGGTAAAGAGGGAAGGAAAAGGGGGCAAAAGAAATGATAGGGAAAGAGGGTAGGAAAGGAAAAGAGAAGGGGTGAAGAGGGAAGGGAAAGGGGACTAGGAGGAAAGAAAGGGGAGCAAACAAATGATAAGGAAAGGAAGGAAGGAAGGAAGGAAGGAAGGAAGGAAGGAAGGAAGGAAGGAAGAAAGAAAGAAATGGGGAGGTAAAGAGGGAAGGAAAAGGGGACAAAAGAAATGATAGGGAAAGAGGGTAGGAAAGGAGGAGAGAGAGGGAAGAAGAGGGAAGGGAAAAGGGGCTAGAAGGAAAGAAAGAGGGCTGCAGAAATGATAAGGAGGGAAGGAGGGAAGGAAGGAAGGGGGAGGTAAAGAGGGAAGGAAAAAGGGGCAAAAGAAAGAGAGTAGGAAAGGAGGAGAGAGAGGGGTGAAGATGGAAGGGAAAGGGGGCAAGAAGGAAATAAAAGGGGGGAAGAAATGTGAAAGAAAGAAAGAGGGAAGGAGGTAAAAGGGAAGGAAAAGAAGAGGAAAGAGGGGGGAAAGGGAAGGAGAAGAGAGGGAAAGAATGGAGGGAAAGAGGGAAGGAAAAGGGGTAAGAGCAATGGCAGAAGGAAGGGAAAGAGGAGGAAAAGAGAAGCAAAACAGGGAAAAGAGGGAAAGAACTGAGGGAAAGAGGGATGGGAAAGAGGAGCAAAGGGGAAAGGGGCAAAAGAGAGAAAGAATGGAGGGAAAGCAAGAAGGGAAAGGGGGGAAAAGAAACTATAGGGAATGAGGGAAGGGAAAAAGGGAAAAGAAGGGCAAAAAAGGAAGGGGAATAGAGGGAAAGAATTGAGGTAAAGAGGGAAGAGAAAGGGGCAAAAGAAATTGAAGGGTAAGTGGGAAGGGAAAGAGTAGCAAAGGAAAATGGGAAGAGAAAGAATGGAAGTAAAGAGGAGAAGGGGGCAAAATAAATTATAGGGGGAAGGGAAAGAGGAAAAGAGGAGCAAAAAAGGAAAGGGAAGAGAGGGAAAGAATGGAAAGAAAGAGGGAAGAGGAAGAGGGGTAAAAAGGGAAGGGGAAAGAGGGAAAGAATGGAGGGAAAGAGGGAAGCGAATAAGGCGAAAGAAAATAAGGAAAGAGGGATGGGAAAGGGGGAAAGAGGGGCAAAAGGGGAAGGGGAAGAGAGGGAAAGAATGGAGGTAAGGAGGGAAGATAAAGAGGACAAAAGATTATAGGCAAAAAGGGAAAAAATAGTAGGAAGGGAAGGGGCAAAAAAGGAAGGAATGAGGGCAAAGAGAACTATAAGAAAAGGAAGGAAGGAAATGGGAAGGTAAAGAGGGAAGGGAAAGGGGGGAAATGAAATAATGGAGAAAAGGGGAAAGAAAAATGGCAAAGGGGAAAGGAAAATGGGGAGCAAAGAAATGAAAGAAAAAAGAGGGAAGGGAAAAGGCAAGGAAGGAAGAAGGGAAGAAAGAAAGAGGATGAGGAAAGAGGGGAAAAAAGGGAGGAAAAGAAGGGTAGAGAAGGAAGGAAGGAGAGAAAGAGGGAAAGGAGGAAAGGGGAAAGAAAGAGGGAAGGAAAAGAAAAGAGAGGAAGAGGGGGCAGGGGAAAGAAAGAGGGCAATGAAGGAAGGGAAAGAAGGGAAAGAGGGAGGAAAGAGAACCCAAAAGGCCAAAAGGGGAGGGAAATGGGGGGGGGGCAAAGGTGGAAGGGAAGGGGCTGCGAAAGCAATCCCAGCCTTCCCGGCCTGCCTTTCAACCAGCGCCATCGGATCGTATCAATCAAAATAATAATTAAGGCTTCCTCCTCCTCCCCCTCCTCCTCCCCCCTTTCTGCCCCCACCGCCTTCCTATTGATCCCTGGAAAAACCCGTATTAAATTATGAATGGGGCCAGAGGGCGTCTAATTAAAAAGCAGTCTATTTAGCAAAAGAAGAGGGGAGAAGGGAAAAAAAAAAAAGAATTAGAAACGGACGGGCTCCCAATCTCTGTGGAGCGGAGATAGGCGCCGGGTTTCTGGTGGATGCGGAAGGTTGGGGAAGACACGCGTCAAGGGCCGCACGTCGGAAAGCACCCGATAGAGAAGGTCTGAAAAGGAGGTGAAGGTGTCCGGGTCAAAGGGATACAAAGGAAGAAGTGTTTGGAAAAGAAGAAACTACAATATATCCCCCGTTAATGTCCTCAAAAGTCTGTTTTAGTGATTCGGATTGGGACCCTTTCCCCCCGCAAATCAGGTCCCTTGGCCTAATCCGGAGTCACTCCGGAGAGACTACAGAACTCCCGGCCTAACGCTGAAGTCTGGCAGGAAGGAAACTCGTCCCAAAGTGAAGTCCTGTTTTGAAAAGTTTCAGGTTCCCAAGTGGAAACGCTCCTTTGTGAAAGAGGAAAGATGGAGCTTCAAAAAGAGTCCAAAAGGGGGGCATTTCCTTTGGAAGGAAGGAAGGAAAAAAGGAAATAAGTAAAGTAAGAAAGAAGGAAGGAAAGCAGGTTGGTAGGTAGGAAGGAAGGCAGGAAGGAAGGAAGGAAAGGAAGGAAGGAAGGAAGGAAGGAAGGAAGGAAGGAAGGAAGGAAGGAGGAAAGGAAGGAAAGCAGGAAGGAAGGAGGGAAGGAAGGAAGGGAAGGAAGGGAAGGAGAGAGGAAGAAAGGGAGGGAGGAAAGTAAGAAAGAAGGAAGGAATGCAGGTAGGTAGGTAGGTAGGAAGGAAGGAAAAGTAAGAAGGAAGGAGGAAAGGAAGGAAGGAAAGCAGGAAGGTAGGAAGGAAGGGAAGGAGGGAGGAAGAAAGGGAGGGAGGAGGAAAGTAAGAAAGAAGGAAGGAAGATAAGAAGGGAGGGAGGAAGAAAGGAAGGAAAAGAAAGAAGGAAGGAAGAAAGGAAAAAAGAAAAAAGAAGGAAAAAAAAAAAAAAAGGAAAAGGAAGAAAGGAGAAAGAAGGAAGAGGAAAGAGGAAGAGGAAGGAAGGAAGGAAGGGAAGGAAGAAGGAAGGAAGGAGAAAGAAGAAGGAAGGAAGGAAAGGAGGAAGGAAGGAAGGAAAGAAAGAAAGAAGGAGGAAGGAAGGAAAGAAGAAGGAAGGAAAGGAAAGAAAGGAAAGAAGAAGGGGGGAGGGAAGGAGGGAGGGAGGAAGGAAAGAAAGAAAGAAAGAAAGAAAGAAAGAAAGAAAGAAAGAAAGAAAGAAAGAAAGAAAGAAAGAAAGAAGGAAGGAAAGAAGGAAGGGAGGGAGGAAGGAAGGAAATCTCCAACTTTCAAAGTTGGAGATTCCCTGTATATATACAATATATGGTATATACATTCCCTCTTCTCACTCTCTCTATATATGTGGTTCATGTACACGTTACATAATATAATATAAATATTATAATATAATTATATGTCTGAGGAATGGAGGGGAAAGAGAAACAAAAGTCCCTAGAAAATTACACACACACACACACACATATATACCCTTTAAGTAAATTCGGGCCTCTCTTTTGATTTCCAAGTTAGGAAACTCTGAGAAATAATAATAATAATAATAATAATAATAATAATAATAGTAATAATAATAGTAATAATAATAGTAATAATAATAATAATAATAATAATAATAATAATAATAATCCCATATATATCTATATCTATATAGATATAGATATA